CACCCAACACAAGGCACGTTTAAGGTCAACGGTCAACGCCTCAAACCATATATAGTGGATGGAGCATTGCCTACCCCATCAACTGCATACCTAGATGATCATTGATCACACCGGAATGTCAAGCTTCAGACATAAAACAAGCGCTTATTGGGAGGCAACCCAATGTCGATAAGTAGTTTCTTCTTTTTTTTTTCCATATCATCAGAGTTCTACTTTTAAGATTTTAGGTTTTTACTTTCATTGATTATTGATCACTCCTAGTTGCTCTTCATTCTCTCTTCCTAGTTCTTTTTTATCCTTAGCAGCTAGATGGTCCATGACAAAGGAGCCACTTCAGATTTCCGAAAGTTGTTCAAGGAAGTTCTCTCAACCCCCTCAGATTCTTGAACTCTTACTCTCTACATTGCTAAACCATCTTCGCGCTCTATCAATATGAACATTGAGGACAATGTTTGTGATAAGTGTAGGGGTATCTAGGCTATAGTTACGCACCCATATACATAAATGCATTGATAGGCCACATAAACTGGTAAGCTCCTCAAAATTAATTGATGTCTATAAAGTGAATTCACAAGAGAGAATATGATGAAGTTTGAGGAAAATTACTTGTAAGTGTTATAATTTGTTTCTGTGACTTATTCAATTTTATCACAATATATGAGGATTAGGAAATCAAATAGGATTTTCATCATGGCCAACACTAATTCCATTCATGTGTATAGTTGTACTTGATTGAAGTTTTAATGAACACTCGAGCATTTGGTGAACATCATGAACTGTTAATGCATGAATAATTTTTGACAGTTGAGAAAAAGAGGACAATAAGGAAGCAAAAATTATCCCTGGACAAAGTCCAAACTACTCCGCTGTCATGAATTGAATAGTAAAACTAGCAGTTCATGATATGAGTTCAGTCCCAACTTCGCTATTTCAAGTTGAATAGTAAAACTAGCAACTTGGAATATGAGTAATGTCATCTATCTCTATCCTATGACCTTTTTGAGATGGAGCAAAAAATGCACTCACATTCAAAAAAAAAATTAATAATATATTCTTTCGGTGACGGCTAAGGTTCAAGGGGGCAAATATAGTTGGATATTCAATTTAGTGCATTGACAGGAGTTAAGATCAAGCTCGAGGTGATGGTTAGTCATGGTAGTCAAGGAGCTGCTATATACTGAATGGAATTGAGTGTTGGAGCATGAAGAATCTCATGTTCTTCCCGTCCTTCGTTCTTGTGTATGTGGTAAGAGTGACTTGTCATGGGGATGAATTAGAATACTTATGTATGATTTCCGATCACCTAACTCATTCTCATCCCAGAATTCATGCGATAGATAGGAGTAATTTGGGGGAATGGCTAGTTTATGATTATTATCTTTGCTTGAGGACAAGCAATAGCTTAAGTGTGGGGGTATTTGATGTGTGTGCATGCTACACATTGTTTTTATTGTCTCATACATGGTTTTTATGATAAATCTTAATAGTTCTTGCCCTAATTGAGCTGAATTTCAAGAAACAGGAGTTTGGAACAATTTAGGGTTAATAGAGCATGAAGACATGGTGATATTGCTGCAAAGGAGCACTTCGGCCTAGGAGAATAGAGGCACAGCCGCAACTTATTGGAAGGCTCCAAGAGGCTACTGATTTTAGCAGAGTTCGAAGGGGAGTAGGAATCTAAAGCTGCAAGAAAGAGTATAAAAGAAAAAGAAAAAGAAAAAGAAAAAATTAGGATTCGACTTCTTGTTACAGGAACCAAGGGAGAAGTGTTGGGAGAAAGATCACAATGATGCCAAAGGAGAATTGGAGAGGAGATCGAGAATTCATGCAAAAGTTTTAGGTTGTCTTCTTCTTTAATTTAGCGATTTCGGTAACCTATGTTCAACTAGGGTTTTCTTTTGTTTGAATCTTTCATTCTTTCTACCATGCGAACCATGATTGATGTTATTTCAGATCTGTGATTGATCTTTTATGCTAATCCGATTGATAGTTATTCAGTATTGGGATTTCTTGATTAGGGTTTTCAATAATAAGAGTAAATTCGGCCAATCTACTCTTATTTCTTGGATTACCTATATTGCTTGAGAAAGGGTTTAGGTAATCGGACTAACTGATCAAGAAAACGAATTGAATGTATCTTAGAGATAATTTATATGATTCGTTTGGCATTCATTCAACAAAAACTGATATCATTCGATTTTTTTGTCCTTAATGCATTTATAGTAATTAAATTCTTAATAGAGATATAAGGGTTGTTACTCGTAGATAGATTGGCATGTGCTCGAAAGAGGTTGTTCATAACAAGAAGGAAATCGCCAACGCATAACTGAAATCAACTTCGGTTGGATAGTTTAATGAGATAACCACTGAACCGATTCTGCAATCATTTTCGTGAAGTGCTTTCTCTATTCAATTAGGGTGGTTTAATTCGAGAATACCTAAAATAGTTAGCTGATTAGGAAGTAATTCATTGATTTTCGGATTATCAAATAACATAAGGCAGATTTAGTACTAGTAGTTGTTAGATTAATCCTCGTGGGAATGATACTTTACTCATCAATATATTACTTGATTGGCTAGTACACTTGCTAGTGTAGTTCTAAACGCATCACTGCCTATACTAGATTGGTCGTCCGAGTCCTCTTCCAGATATAGATCTTCCAGTTGATAGTTTACCCAGCCCTCATCGACCCCTTCCTTTTCCTTGCCGCACCCTCTTACATATGGATTCGGATGATCTTTCTCTGAGTTGCTTCCTTTTGAGAGCTGAGGCACGGATCTAGGGACCCATTGCAGAGATCTAGCTGTTTTCTCTTTTCGCCTATTCGAAACAAAGCCTCCAACACAATTCTTCTCCGGAGAGGAAGAAAATAGAACTAATTTTGTGTCTATAATCTCCTTCCGTCTGTCCTGGGCCACGTGCTCACTTAAACAGTCACGTGGCCCCAGAACTGATTCTTTGGTTGGCCTAGCCCCACCTCTAACCGGTTCAGAAACTCCGGCCCACGATAGCATGTTATATGGTCCAACCCTCTTCTTGACCACGTCAGCAAAGGAGGTTCGAGCCCCCCCCCCCCCCATCCCCACTTCAAGAAGCTTCAAAATTTTTTGAATTTTTTGCTCTAAATGGCTTACTTGAGTTGAGTCTTGGTTTTCCAGTTGCAACTTTTCAGCTTCCTCCTTAGGTCTTTGCCTCTCTGCCTTCAAGCCCACCAACACCTGTCTGCCATGTGAGATCAAACCCGCCACGTCTCCTTCGTCTTCAACCTCAGTTCTTCTTCCCCAAAGTTCCACCTCCATCTCTGAAACCAACCATACTCTGTACCAAACATCATCTACAAAGATTTCGAACACCTTTGGGATCGATTCTGGTTCCACCCCTTTAACTCTCACCTCCACTACTCGAAAATCCTGTAGGTTGCATTCTTCTAGCACTCCCCCCAGCATTTTTACCAGGTTTTCTAGGATTAATCTATTCCATAGATGAAACGGGAGTCCAAACATTTTCTACGTGAAGCTCCCTCTGAATGGCTCCACCTCATTACACAAGGGTTTCCATTTCTGAACATAAGCCAATCCCTCTTCCCACTCGAAAGCTGTGAATCCCCTGTTGACACCATCTCCGACACTTAGTATTGCCTTCTGATTTGAAAATGGCTCCAAAGTAACCTCCGAGTCAATCTGCAAGTTATTCACTACCTCATACAACAGCTTCCTCCAGTCTTGAACATCCTTACTGGTGGAGACCACCATTTTCTTCTCCCATTCGTCCAGTTCCACCTCAACCCAAACTTTTAGTCCTCTGTTTGGAAACACTACGGCCTTGCCGCAGCTAAAAGAACTTTGCTTCAGTGCCTGGAAAGAGGACTCAGGGATATCCTTTTTGCTGCTCTGTTCTTTTTCTTTGTCTATTTGCAGGTGATTAGCCGTAGCAAGGAAACTCTGCAACTCCTCCGCAAATAGCCTTGACTTTGCTTCCCTTCCGATATACAAACCATTCCTTTTGGTCACCAAAGTGTTCTACGATAGTGATGAACCACCCTTTATTATTCCATCTGAGTTCCATTTCATATTTTTTCTTTTCCAATTCCAGTACATTCCTCCACCCTACGGTTTTTATGGACTGGAGTACACCATCGATCAAACCTTTCAACCAGTGAACAGCTTCCTCAAAAAGAATTATCGTCGCCCTTCTACCCTCTCTTACCTTTAGCAGATTCTTACTTTTAGATTTTCCACCTTCCAGGAGAAACCTCTTTGCTTCAATATCCAACCCAGTCCTCCATCTATTCACCACCTGAAATTCCTGTTCGTTTTCTCTTCCCATCACCTCCTGTTCATTTTCCACCTCCCCTTCAATCAACTCCAGAATAATGCCTTGTGATTGTTGTCCGCATGAAACATCAGGAGGTATTTTTAGAGCCACCCACATTCAGAGGCAAGGTTTTTAAAACCCGATCGGACAAGGAACCATTATGGGTCTAGTTCCCAGGTCGAACAGTATGACCATCTGATCTGGATGGATGGCCGCCCACTGACAAAAAAAATAAAAAATAAAAAAACGACCAAAACTGTTGTCTGGGTTCAGTTTCAGTTGTTCGATGGCCCAAATCAATAGTTTGCTGACCAAATCAATGGTTTTTGGCCATAAGACAATTTTTGGGTGAAACGGAACAATCAAGTGACCAATTGCTGGTTTTTGGTCCAACCATCTGGGTCCGGTCCAATTTTGAAAACACTGTGCAGAGGTTCTTGTTGAGGCATGGTTATAATGAACGACAACCTATTAGCCCCACAAGATATTCCTGGTGTTTGGCATGGATGATATAATAATGCTGACCAATTAGGCCGTAGCCTAAAAATTTCTCATTTAATTTTTGTATTGTACCGACTTGCAAGTCCAGTCCAACGATTCATCTATCAATAAGACGACATACTATAGAGCAAGTCGAGCTTCTATTTCCAAATTCGAAGTTTCTAATTCTGTATGGATTTTTTCATAGGTAGTTTGATACTTTGATTGCTAAAAAAAGTAACACCATCACCATGGTTTTCAAACTTAAACCATAAATGCAATGAAGCTCAAAAGAGTAAACAGGAAACATTCCTTTTCTCTGTTTTGAAGGATTGAAAACCCTCGCCTTCTCCTGAAGACAACAAGATCAGCATCCAAAAAAATGTAGAGCTTCTATCCTGCTGTCCAGTCTCTTGGTGTTGAAAAGAAGTACAAGACATACAATCAATAAATTACCATATTCTCCAAAATCCTACCTCTTTCCTTTTATGTACATGGGCAGCCGTTGTTTGTGGATGTGGATCGGGTTAAGGGAGCACCCCGTGTAGATGTCAATGAATTTACACAGAACCGCCCCCACTGTGCATATCTTCAATATTATATTGCAAAACACTGACAAGAATCTAGCCTGTTGCTGATGTTGGTGCAGACATGGACATAGATAAAGTGATAGGATGGTCGGCATCAACTTCTAGATGATTACTTCCGTGGGAAATACCATCAGTCTTGTCCCCTCCTGCTCCAGCACCATCCCCACCACCTTCGTTTAGATCTCTGGTGGCTGAACTTGAAAGTCTCTGCTTCCTCAGATACATGTCAGTTGCATCTTGGATCATCCTTAGCATACTGGCAGATTCTGAAACAGAAGGTGGTTCATCCTCCCTTTCTGGCTGGATGTTCAGATCAATTTGGCCTTTAAGAGGTGAACAGGAGGGTTTCTTCCTGTTTGAATCCTCCTCAGAAACCCCATTTTCTGATTGTTTCTGGTTTGGACTGCTATTTCTTGCATTACTGCTCACTGGTGGATCATCTTCCTGAGTTGTCTTCTTAGGTAGGTGAATCTGCTGCTGCTTTTTGCGAGCTGTCTCTGCTTCCTTCTCCGATTGTCGCTTCTCCCGCCGTAGCATGAGGGTGCGGAAGCGGCGTTTGACGGTCAGGCAGACATTACATGTGCATGTCTGTTTATGCTTGGGGCCCTTCCCACTTGGAGGCTGGATGCAGACAATGCATGTGCACCCAGGCCGATGGCGAGGATGCTTTGTAGTTGGCTGAGCAGATGGAGGCAGTGCATCACCTTCTCCCATAATGGCAAGGTTTGCAAGAGTGTCAAGCCCATCTGATGCTTCAACAGCATCTTTGTCTTGTTTGGCAGCCTTGGTTCTCTTGGAAGCAGCTGCCAAGTCATAGATACAACAGTTTGTCAAATATTGCTCTACTGGCTTTGACAAAATCTGGGAATGCAGTACAAGTCTACAAAAAAATAGTAATAGAAGCTTTTAACAGGTCCTTTGGGATCAAAATCTGCCACAAATATGTTAGGCAGTAGAAGACAAATAGTTAAGAAAAAAATACAAAGATGCATAACAGGTTCTACTTACTGGATTTTCCAGAAGAAATAATCTCTTCAAGCTGCTCCATGCTTAATTCCTGTGCTGAATTACAAGACCTGGTAAACACATACAAGCATCTGAGCAAAAGTACAAACAGTGGTTATGGTTTCCTTCCTCTCTCTCTCTCTCTCTCTCATATAACAAAGAGGATGGACAAGGTTAGGAACAGGGTTAATTTCAACAAGATCAGGGTCAGAGTAACCCCTAGTGCATTATCATCACCCATCTCCAAAGGAGACAACAGTACTAAAACATAATATCAGGAATTATGAAGAGGAGATATTCCTACTCCCCTAAATCTCATCTATCTTAAATTATGGACATGCATCAAAGAATCAATGTCCATAGAAAAGGAAATAGCATCTCTTTTAAACTAACCAACAGTTTGATCCCATGCACCATCCTAGAAACCAATGGTCTAAAGTATATCCAATCAAGACAAGGAAACTTGCTTAAGTGGGGAAAATATGGGAAGGAAACCATATTTCCTATAAGAAACAAACACCAAATTGTCCTGACAAACAATATGAATTGCCCAAGGTCTATGTTCGAAATGCATACCTTTTTGGATCCCATGAGTTTTTGGAACAGGTCCATCTGGATGGAAGAAGTGCATCAAAGGGTAGTTTACGCCACTTAGAACAGTCTTCACACTGAGCCCATTGGACCTTATCACTAACATAGATGAAATGTAGCATTGGCATTCACTTGTAGAAAATATACAAAACCAATGAAGTTTTGAGATTGGAAAAGAAAAGCATTAACTGTTTCTTAATGAGAAAGGAGGTACAAACTTGAGATGCTGTAACCAAAAAAAAAAAAAAAACCACAAACAAGCAAACAAAAAGAGTTTAGCACTATTAAAAAGTCTGGATTGCATTAACATCATGTTCAATATGTAATAGATCTAAACTCTTTGTGCCCAATTTGTTTGTATCCATGCCAGCATGCACTTTATACATTGGTAGTTTACAAGTTACTTATTCAATGCGTGACTTATTCAGCGTGCACTTATAAAACAGAAAATAGAAAGTATCAAAATACATGAGTAAATGTCATTGAATTGCTTTATGGATGGTAGATGCAAAAACACAGCAATGTCAACAAGTGATAAGTGATAACATGAGCTGCCAACAATATTACTCTTATGTTAAGAATAGAACTATGTTCATATTCCTATGAAATGTTATTGGCAGAAGAATTCTCATGATGCAAGAGTCTTTGTCATCTTTCTTTGTGTTAACGAATCAAGTATCCTGAAAGCATTCAAGTCTTGTAAAATTCTTCTGTTAAATAGTTTTCAAAATTTTTCTAGAGTAAAGATGATCTTTTGGCTTCTTTCTTTGGCTGTGGAATTTTTTGGGGGTCCTTAAAGATGGTCACATGTACAAACTTTTTGCACAGTATTCCTTGTATACATGTAAATTTTATTTTTTACTACAGTACTACTTCCTGAAGAAAATATTTCCGGCAAAACAGCAATTTCAATGAAGGATATAGCATCTAAACATTTCGAGTTCAACTAAATCTAGGACAGTAAATGGATTGGATTTAGATTTAATCCAACTCAGCTTCATTTTTTTTAAGCAAACAAAAAAAAAAAAAGTTATTTACTTTTTAAACTTATATATAATAAATTAATATAAATATGAAATATAGAATTTATTATGTTCACAATATATAAAATTATATATTTATATTAAATCAATATATATTATAATATAATCAGATTCAAATTTTAATCGGATCAGATGTCACTTTCAGAGTCTGTTCACAGCCCTAACTAAATCTATGACTTAAATGAAACCAACATTCTTATATGACATAGGTGAATAATTATCCAATTATGGATAGAAGTCAAATCATATAATTGCACGTTTTTCCCAAGGAATGACTGAATAACAATAAAGTGTTACCTTCCCAACCAAATATTATGAAATTAATATTATAGAAAATTATTGAGGCAAATTCTACAATACCCACAATAATTCCATTAATGAATATCAATTTATAAACATATGGAAACATAAATTCTATAGCAAGATAGTAAAGAAAATAATCACCAACCATAAGCAAATTTACAACTGTAACCAAGAAAATAGCTTTCTTAGCCAAACATAATGAGAATGAAAAAAGGATGAAAATTACCCCTGATTAGTGGTTGCAAAAATTGTCGGCCTCCCAAGTACTGGTGCTTCCTGTAAGAGACAATCATATTAAACATACAAGAGAGATTTTCTTGCTGCTGTCAGTTGTTGCACTTGAAAAGGCTAATTAAGACAAATGTTTTAAAAAGGACACATAGCTCACAAGCAACACTCATTTTGTGAGCTGCACCTTACCTGACCCTAGGTGTGCTTCATCAGTTATACTTGATGTTATCTCATCATTAATATAGTTGTGCACTGGTTGAAGAAAATGGAAAATTTTAGATCCTATTCTACAAACAAATTAATCAGGGATTGGTCCATAGGGACAGCTACTGCATCTAGAAGAAATTTGCCTCATATAGTTTGGAACCTCCTCCCCTGTTGAAATACATCAAATTAAACTTTGATGGCTGCAACTTGGGCAACCAGGGGATATCAGAAGTTGGAAGCACATTCAAAATCATATGGGAGATATGTTGAACGTCTATTCTAGATCAATTTGGAATGACAACTTAATTTAAGAAGAGTACTTATCATAAAAAAAAAAAAAACCTTCGAGCAGAGCTTTCACTCAATGCTTTAAGGTTTGAGGCTAAGTACCTCCCTAAAGCTAGCATCTAGCAAGGTCAGAGGAAGACAAGGACACCAAAGTGGTAATAGGGTGGATGATAGAGTAGTAACTGTTCCTTGGCTTTACAAGTATATTTTATTGGAGATTGGATCATTAACTTACAATGTGAATATCTCATTTGGATGAATTAGAAGATCAGCAAACTCCCTAGAAAATGGACTGGCAAGAGAGGGGGTAAACAGAGCAGATTTGTAAACTGGACTTACCAATGAAGGGTAGGCAAAAGGGACTTTCACATTGTATTCACAGAGATCATGGTTGTAATTCCAGCATTCTGATTTTCCTTCTTTACTTTCCCATTGTACTACTGTACATATTTTATTAATTAAGTTACCTGAATAAGTTAAATGATATAAAGTTTTCTTTCATTGGTCATTGATGGTTGACTCAACTCAGCCTTGATCCCAATTATTTAGGACTGGCTACATGAATCCTGTCCTTCTATTTTTTCTATCAAGAGAAATGTTTTTAGTCAGGTATTGATCAGAGAAGTTTTTGTGTTTATACTTCAAAGTTTCAGCCCATGCAAAATGATTTGCAACTTCTAGATCAGACTAGTCTGTCTACATAATAATGTTGTTAATTTAGGACTTTTAGGCCCTGTTCATTTAGACCCCGTTTGCTTTTCAATAAGTTACTTACCCAGGTAAATACAATTACCTGGGTAAGTAAGTGTATTTACCCATGTTCTTTTATTTCCCAAGTAAAAAAAGGAAAAGACTATTTTAGCCATAAAAATTCATTATTGAAAGGGGCATTTTTGTCCCATTCAAGTGTTGGAAACTTTCTCCCCCAGGTGGGAAAGTTATTTACCCACCTAGGAGATGGGTAAATAAACTTTCCCTGGTCCCCACATTAATCTGAACAAAGAACATGGGATTCTTGGTCAATGGGAACCAAAATTCCATTGACCTACTTTCCCCCCTCTCAAAATTCAAAAAAAGAATGCCCCCTTAGTGGTAAATAAGCTTGGGAAAGTTGGTCAATGGGTATCTTTTTCCCATTGACCAACTTTACAATGTTCTTTTTGCATTTACTAATGGGCCCTACGGTAAAATAAGCTCCACTTCCTTGGGTAAAACTTACCCATCTCCTAGGTGGGTAAGTAACTTTCCCACCTAGGGGAAATTTTATAAAGCATAATGGGACAACATTAACCATTTTTATATTAGATTTTTATGGGTAAAAATGACATTCTGTTACTTGCTTGGAATCTTAGAAATCAAAAGAACATGGGTAAATGCAGTTACCCAGGTAAATGTTACCCATGAAACATTTACCTGGGTAAGTTCCCTTAACCGGGTAAGTTACAAGGATGCAAAACGAGGCCTTAGTAGGGACTGGCTCTCAAGGTGATTTTACTATTAGAAATTTGTTCAGAAACTCTAATAGCCAAAATGTCATCTTTGCATTCTATATATATACAAAAGCAAGCCTATATAAGCCTTTAGAGGTGAGAAAAAAGCCTATATAAGGCCATGAAAGAGAGTCATAAAACTGAAGTATACAATTTGGCCATTTTTGTTAGATTCCTACCTGAGAAGTCCTGAGTATTGACTACTCAAATGTGTAATATAATACTAAATAAATCAAGATGCTGATCTAATGAACCCAAAAGGTTCCTATTTTCTCAAAATTACCTATGCTTCTGATGCTTTCTTATTTCTTCTTTATCTTCCTTTTACTTTTCCAAGATCATTTGGAATGTCTTCTAAACCACCGTATATCAGTTTCCATTTTGGGTCCACGGCCATTTTTTTTATCAGCAAAAGTTTATTGGATTAATTAATTATAAGAGAGATAATAGTACACCTTGATGACCATAAAATCATCCCAAGTATGTTTGCTAGGTTACATAGAAGCTCAAAACAACTGTTGCCTTTCCACTCCTTGTTTAGCAAGGGAATCAGCTAACCTATTTGCACACCTTCTAACCCACTTGAAATTAGCATTTAGTTCTCTTGCAAGCCTTTCAACTTCCCTGTAAGCATTCTTGAGGGTCCAAGGGATATGTTTATTACATCTCGCCCAAGAACCTTTGAATCCCCTTCCACCTCCATCAAAGTTCAATTTTACTTTATATCCCCTACAACAGGATATAAAAACACTACTTCAGCCAACTTTCTTCTTCCCAAGAAAGAGAAGGGGAAAGATCATGTGGAAATGAATGAAAGCAGCCATGTTATAGATAATTTGGGAAGAACAAAGTCCCAGACACAGAATACTTTCAAACAAAATCCAATCTCATCATCATCCAAGCCTCATCTCAATTCCAAGCGGTTGGCTTCAAACAAAAGCCAAACTAAAGGAGAATTAATTGGGGTGATAAAAATTAGGGTCATTGACTGGATCAAGACCATTGAGGAATTCTCTTGATTCATAATGATATCCTAAGAGAATGGTCAGTGGTGGCATCATCATCTTCCAGGAAGAAGCAACATTACATGGACAGCACCATCGCAGGGGCAAGCTGCAATGGTCCGACACTTTATAGAAAAATGAAATAGAAAGTCTCACATACCACGGTGTAGCATAGTTTGTATATCTTTCATATGTCAATAATACAATTATGAGTTACTGATAAAGAAACTGGCATACCTCATATTCTTCGAATTCATGGCCCTCGATTACTACAATACTGGGTGCATGGTTAGGAGGTGGGCGGAGCAGTCCTTGAGCTTCTTCCCATGTTAATTTGAGCTCTATCAAGTCCTCATTTTCAATCCGTAGGCGTTTACTCTTCGAGCCAAGGGTGCTGCTTTTCCTCTTACTTGGGATAGAAGCCTTGGCTCCAGGCACATCTTTTGCTATGTATCCAGATTTATCAACCTTAGACCAAGTGCTTGCTGGATCTGCTGATTTAACCTGGTTGATTGAGGAATAACTAGTTGATTTTGAATTACCCTTTAAATGATGAAGAAGAGTTGAAACATTTAAGTTTAGTTTTTCTATTTAACCTCTCCATTTGCAGAGATACCACTCCCAGATTTATGTGTTTGATTATCCTGTCAATAAAATATAACATAAACAAAATTTAGTAAATTTTCAAAAAAATTATTTTATACTGCACAAAGAACAAACTTGTAAATGGGTAGGCACGAGTAATTAATGAAGCAGAAGACCTAGAACAAACCAATATTAAACAGGGGTAGCAATTTCTGTCTAAATCCGTTCAACTGACCCACTTACAAGAAGGTGGATATGAAGATTTCATTTAGTGGATTCCATATGGGTTGAAGACCCAGAAAATTGAGTTTACATGGGTGGATTTGGGTTTGGTAGCACCCCTGATGTGCTCTCTATCCCAAACAAACAAAAGTAATAATCTGCCCCTATCCTTCCCATCTATTCTCTCTATCTCCTCAGATCAGCTGATGCAGGTTAAGTCACAATCATGTTAGGCTATACAAAAATTTGTGTTAAACGGGTTTACAGATTAAAAGTGTATGCTTTAACACAATCCACACCTAACCCATCCAGTTGCTAAAACAAAAGCCTGTGAACTATATGAAATTCACTTATCACTAAAGTTGGTACTTAAAAGTAAGGATCCCAATGTGGCAAAGCCAGTTTTGGCCTCTACACTCCTAATCACAAATCAAAGAGAAATGTACAAGCAATTTTGAGAGCTTCAACATAAAAGCATGGTGCACTCCTAACAGTAGTACTACCTTCCATGCCACATCACCTTTTTCTTAAATCCAGAACAGAAGGGCATTTCTTTATCTAGAAGGATGCAAGGAAATTGTACAAGAGCATGAAGCTGACAATCCAATGATTCTGTTAGCATTAACCCAGGTTTAGATCAGTGCCTGGGCCTGGAGTCTGCCATAAAAGCTGTTCCCTAGCTACTCCAGTCTTAACCAAAGCGTCAGTCTCTTAAGTTAGACAAGTGAGGTGTCCATTTGAACGAGCAGTTCAGATTTGATGCTTATCTATATTCACAAAGCAAGTTCCATTCCAACAGCCCCAGCCATGTGTCAAAGGTAAATTCATCCTTCTAGGTCTTTCTATATTTATTTAATGTTTGGAATTTATTCAAGAAAATTCAAAACAATTGAACACGGCCTCAGTTGATCCCCTATCTGATTAATAGTATGCATATGGCTGAAATAAGACAAATCATAAGAGATCTAGGTCACCTGGAATCCTTTAAACATGTACACTTGGATACCCAGAAATAGAATCCATGTGATTCATGTATTCCCACAGAGGTGATTATTTTGGTGCTGGTGATAATGCACAATTAGGCAACTTAATTTCTTTTTCCCTTTCCCACCACAAAAAAGAAAAAGAAAAGAGAATGGGAAGAAAACTTCATAATGGTCGACTAATATCCATGTTACATGAAAACTTCATAATGGGAAGAAAAGAAAATGGGCACCACATCTGCATTGGGCACATATAGACACTGATGCAGACATGACACTTGAGGGGACTCTTCCCTCTGTCAAATCAGTAATATGTGACTAAAAAGCCTCAAATTCTTGGGGTAAAATGTTGACATGAATTGTGAATTTTCTAATACTTGATAATTAACTATAATGATTTATAAATTGTTTAACTTGCTTAGTGTTTTCACAGAATTTCACTCAATCTGACACAGCTACAAAGCCTCAGACTCAGGGAATTCCAAAAAAAAAAAGATTCAGGGGTTTCTACAGTTATACTCTAAATTTAAGATTTATCTTTTAGTGATTCATTCTTATGTTGGTAGTTAAGTTGGGTGAAGACCCTGGAGGATTTCCAAGGCTTCTCAACAAATGACATTTTGAGAACTTGGAAGGAAGTGGCTTTATCGGCTCAAGCCAAGGAAAGAGTAAATATGGAATGGAGACCCCCAGCAACCAACTTTGTTAAACTCAATTTTGATGGGAGCTATATTGGTAATCAGGTTGCGGCTGGGCTGGGAGGGGTGTTCAGAGATACAGAAGGAAAGGTTTTAGCACTGTGTGGGTTACTCCATGGGTTCAAATTTGCTAAGCAATTCAGTATCACGGACAAGATGTAGCTCCCAAATTCCATAGGTCTATAGACATACTTTTCGGGAAATAGAAAGCATATCAAAGGAGCTGAATGTTGTCTTTAAATGGGTGAGAAGATCAGCAAATGGGATGGCGGGTGTTTTGGCCAAACAAGGGACAGCAAGGCACCAAATGTTTTGGGCAAAATTACAAATTATAATGTGTCTTTAAGGTGGAAATACCCACCTATTGTAATACTTGAAATTGATATTAATAAAATATTTTTACTGATCAAAAAAATCTTTATGTTAAATAAACAATGAAATAATCAATGGGAAAAAACTAATTATAGGTAGAACCATAAATGAATTTATTTGTAAAAACCTAGGAGTAGCTTCAATAGGTGATAAAATGAAGGGAAGCAGACTAAGATGGTTTTGTTGTCTAGAGAGGACCATCTGCAACAACAGTAAGAAGTGGTTTGTTACAAGTTGAAAGGAATAGAAGAGTTAGGTGCAGCCAAAAAAGGACATGGGTTGAAGTAGTAAGAAATGATTTAAAGGCTCATAATTTAACAATGTATATGACACTGAACAAGTATGAGAATGATGGTTCACATTTGAGAGTGGCCACTTTATGAAAAAAAAAAAAAAAAAAAAAAAAAAAAAAAAAAAAAAAAAATTAAAGTTTGAAATTCCCCTTTTGAGTGATTGTTATGTAGGGCAAATTTATATGAGATTTTAGATTTGAGAAAGGAGAAAGAAAAAAAAGAGACATTGGTTGAAAAAAAAAAAAAAAAAAAAGAAAGAAGAAAAAAGGAAAAAAATCCATAGGTTAGGCCCATATCTAGTCTACCCCTCCCAAGACCCCAGATAGCTGGGACCAACATTGGGTAATAGCCCTTATAATGGCAGAACAAGATTCATGTATCTGACCCCATATAGCATAAATCAAGTATTCATATGTGCAGGCCAACTGAGTTCAGCAAATAAGGAGTACAAAGTGCTTCCATGACATAGTATCAGACATCAAAGAATTGCAACTCTAAGATTGGCAACAAAAGAAGCAGTTGTATGAACCAAAGTTCAAAGTATCGACATAAGTCGATACTTATCGGCCTGTATCGGTGCTTTTTTTATGTTTTATTTATTTTTTTTCAGAACCGGTTCAGAGGGGTCAGTTTAAGTCCCGGCTACCCTCTGAACCATGGTCTGACTCGATACAACCCCTGTAGGTGTATCGGGAAGCCACCGTCATCATACGTATCAATACTTTGAACCTTGGAATGAACTATCAGTGGTATTCTCCATATTACGATCTCAAAATGAAAACTAGACACTAGACTACTTTATGATGCTATACCTGGTCAGCTGGAACACTAGAAGCCTTTCTGAATCCCATAACCAGTTTTCCTTCTGGATCAATCCGACTGAATGTTACTGAGAAAGAAAATTAACTCTCAATTACAATTTGAGGAAGTTAATTATATATTAATAAAAAAACAAGCCAAAAATGGAGAAATGGAACCAAATAGATGAACAAGAAAAATAAAACTCATGGATAATATATCATGCCAATGTTGCATGGAGACCTTATTTCTTTTTCAATTGCCCAAGTAATGTGTCACCCCAAGCCAACTAGTGCCAAACTCCCAAATCCCATGTTGGACTCCTTAGAGCAGGAGCAGATGAATTACAGAATTTTCCAATCAAGTTTTCTCTCCAAAGAGGCAAATCTTGGAGCTCAGAACATGGACATGACCATCTATGTTTGTAATGCATTTGTTCATTGCAAGATTCAAATGATCCCAAATACTAGATTCAAATGCACAAGACATCAGTAATTACTTAATTATTAAAATAAAAATTGGGTAATGGTCATCTCTAATTGTTGTTGTATTTGTCTCCAATCTGTAGTTTTTAGCTCACAAAGCCAGACTCTTTAGCATACATTTTATTACAATTTCTGCAACCTTATCCATGCATGAGTTTTTCCACCCAATTAAAACTCAAAGAAAGGCACTGTTATATTATCAAATTACACAAGAAAGTTGAAATTTTAGCATAAACTAGAAATCAAAGAGGGAGAAAACATGTATTGTAGCAGTATCCCAACATTACCAACAAAATAATCTAAAGACTAAAATAATGATGGTACAGGTAATGATTATGAGGTTCCTGAACTGGCACAATGTGGTATGCGAGTGCTGAACTGCTACTTGTAGATGATAACGGCGTCCTATTACCGACAGATGAACAGAAGCATGGAAGGGGAGTTCTGAAAAACTTAACTCAAGGCCAATCAAAGTGTCTAAGAAACAACTCCCAAGAATTAGTTTCCACTTAAGTTAATAAATACCTGTATCACCTGCTTGCAACTGCATTGACTGAATACAAGGTGTAACCCCTTCTAGAACATACATCCTGCTGTTATTATTTGGCCAGAAACGGAACTGGAATACCCATTCCTTGCCTTTTGCATCCTGGACTTTTAAAGGCAACCCTTCAGGTTGAGAAATTGCAGGGAAGTAAGCCTGTTTCATAGCAAGTGTATATTAGTAACAATTTCATTTGTAACGGAAGAGATATACCACATAATACCTTCATATAATTTAATGAAGAGCCACTTCTCAAAACGTATAATGATAATCTAATAACTGAAAGCAGAGGTTTTGTTTTTTCAGAATAGAGCAGCAGTTTAATAATACCCAATAATGCCCCCCCTGGTAAGCCAATCTGATCTTTTAACCTTTATAATAATGGACTCCATAAAGAAAATAAAATGCACCAAAATATCATTGTAGCTCTAAAGCCAACAACAGCACAAGAGCATAGAATAATTCAAGGAAAAGGCCTATCACAAAAATAATTCAAGGAAAATGCTTAGTTCTATAGCCATAGGACCCAAAATTGTCATTCATCCAATTTTCAGGAAGGCCACCTACCACGTTGAAACATGACTACAAATGTGTTCACTTTACTCCATATGCATTTGAACAATCAAAGGTCCTACTGGGTATCTCTAGAAAAGCTGTGAAACTAATCCATTACTTAAATGTGTTCACTAATCCATTAATAATCTTTTTTAAGATACTGGGGAGGAAGGAGTGAAAATTTTAAAGATTCTAATGCCGCCTTTTCAGAACCTGGGAAAAGCTATATAGGTGGAATCAATATGGAGGAAATGGTGATGGGATTTATGGAGGTTTTGGGCTGCTCGGGGGGCAAAATCATACTAATAAAATCAACCTTGGCTAACCTACCCTTTTTTTGATGAATAACTTTAAACTTTTATTAGAAAGATATCAAATATAAACAAGCAATACAAGAATCTCTAGGAGAGGAGTAAGATGTGCAACCTCTCACATTTTTTTATCAATAGAAGCAACCTCTCACATATTTAAAACATTTAGATTACAGATCAATATGAGCCAGTACAACTGATCCCTAGTTATCTCTTGCTTGGCTAAAGTATTTTCCATCCCATTAGCCGATCTTCTAACCCATTGAATCCTCAAGGTCATCTTGTTAGTTAACCAGTTAAACTTCTTTATCTCAACCCTGCAAGTCCAAATTACAGAATCTAGCTTCTTTAACCATCCCACTATTAGTGTTGAATCTCCTTCAATAACCAACTTGTCCAAGTTCCCAAGTTCAACTCTTTATCTATCTGTACCACTTGAATTACTGAAAGAAATTCAGCCCTGAACAAGTCTGCCATGCCCCCGGGCCCGAAAACAATGCAACAACACGGTTGTCCTTATTTCTAAAAACACACCCCACTCTAGAAGGGCCTCGATTGCCTTGGCTACTACCATCTAATTTCAATTTGATAAAATCTTCCTGGGGAGATGCCCAAACAGAAGATATCAGCTTCTTTTTTGAACTTTTTTCCACTTCAACCCAATTCCTCCATATATCATCAATGGATACATGAGAGAAAATATCCATTGTTCTAATCCAAAAAAAAAAATTCTAGTATTCCTTTCTTCCCAAATTGTCCAGATCATGCCCTTGAACATCTCCACATAACCCTGTCCCTTTTTCTAGGCCACACAAAAGTGGTTGGACAAAAAAAGTCTGTTCAACTCTGTTCACAAGTTCCACCTGCACCCAAACAACAAAAAAAAAGCCAACCCCAAATGCCTACAACAAAAAGGACAGGAAATTAGTAAGTGATAAAAACTCTTCCTATTAGCTTTGTAAAGTATACGCCAATTTGGGGATAGACACAGATAAGGTCTTCTTTTAACCTACCCACTTACTATTTGTCAATTTTTAGGTCCCCTGCTAGTGTTGCTAGAGTTGTGGAGAAATTAATGAGGGACTTCTTGTGGGATCCAGGGGACACTAAAAGAGACCATTTGGTTAATTAGGATCTAGTCTGTTTAAATAAAAGGGAAAGGGTCTAGGTTTCAGAAGATTGAGAAGTAGAAATGCTTCTCTCCTTGGGAAGATGAAGGGACTAGAATAGCTAGGAGCAGACCAGAAAAGGACATCAGTTGAAATAGTAAGAAATTATTTAAGCACTCATACTTTAAAAATGGATATGGCATTAAACAGAACAAAATGGTGAAATAGGATTCATGTAGCCAACCCCATATGGTTGGATTACAGATTAGATGATGATGACGATAATTGATTTTTTGCTTGCTAATATGTATAGACTAATAGCTAAATATTCTGTCGACTTAAACGCTTACGAAAAGAATTGCCCTATCACTACTTAAACTCCCCTAAAAAAAGGCTAAAATTCAATAAAATGTAAAACATACAATGATACTAATCAAAACTATGGAAACAAAATTAAAAAGTAGATTGAAAATCCCACTTTTGCTAAACAGTAAAGAATTTTTTCAACCATAAAAGAATAAAATATATAGGTACGAGCTATTAGAACAACCATAAGTAGTAGTGGTTGTTGGAAGTAGCCCAGGTAGCCCACCACCTCAGCAAGACTAGAAACATTCTTTCAACCTTTCCTCTGCAAAGAAGTAAAAGAGAGGTTTTTTTGTATGGGGAGTGTGACGATTTCAGTTTCAGATCTTAACTTGATGTAGAAAAGAAGTAAAAGAGAGAGAGAGAGAAGAAGAGGAGAAATCGAAGAAGAAGAAAAAACCTGTTCGAACCCAAGAGAAGAGAATAGTTCTAATTCTCCCTTAGGTCGGCCAGGATATATAGATTACTATCATGAATAGAAAAAGACTTCTATGCCCCTATTTAAGTTGGGACACATCAGCACTCACTAAAAGACATAACACCCTATTAATAAAACTTAAATTGACTATTCTACCCTTCTTTACTCGACACTAACACTCCCCCTCAAGCTGGAGAGTATATATCATATAGTCCCAGCTTGTTACATATGTAATTCACTCTTGCCCGACTCAACCCTTGGTGAACAAGTCTGCCCATTGACTCCCTGTATTAACATATGCTATACTTATCATTCCACTAAGAACCTTTTCTCTCACAAAGTAACAATCAACCTCTATGTGCTTTGTTCTCTCATGAAAAACTGGGTTAGAGGATATGTGAACTGTAGCTTGGCTGTCACAATATAGCTTCATGGTAATCGAATACCCCATCTCCTGTAGGAGATTTCTTAGCCACACTAGTTCACAAATTGTATGTGTCATGGCTCTGTATTTGGCTTCTGCACTACTTCTTGCCACCACGGTCTGCTTCTTGCTCCTCCATGTCACCAAGTTACCCCTAAAGAAAGTACAATAACCTGTAGTGGACCTTCTGTTAGATATAGATCCATCCCAATCAGGAGCTCCCTTCAAATACCTTACAATCCTTAGGACCACGTCCCAATGTGGAACCCGAGGATTCTGCATAAATTGACTCACCACACTCACTACAAATGAGATATCTAGCCGAATGATAGTTAGATAGTTTAGCTTGCCCACCAACCTTCTGTACCTTCCTAGATCTTCAAACTCCTCACTTGTATCACTGCTCAACTTAACATTCAATTCCATGGGTGTTTCCACTAGTTTGGCACCCAATAAGCTTATCTCCTCCAATAGAACAAATACATATTTCCTCTGGCACAAATTAATACCATACTTGGACCTTGCCACTTCTATCCCTAAGAAGTATTTCAATTTGCCAAGGTCTTTTGTTTGAAAATGATCATGTAGAAATGTTTTCAACCTGTCAATCCTGGGCCTACCACTACTAGTAATAACAATATCATCAACATATACCACTAACAAAATCTTCCCCGCATCAAGTCATAGCTGAATACTGAATGGTCAACCTGATACTGTTTCATGCCAAACTTCTTTATGACTTCACTGAAACTGCCAAACCAAGCACGAGGGGACTATTTAAGTCCATAGATAGCTTTCCTGAGCCTACACACCTTACCATCCTCTCCCTGAGCAACAAACCCGGGTGGTTGCTCCATATACACCTCTTCAAGAAGATCACCATGCAAAAAGGTGTTCTTAATATCAAGCTGAAACAAGGGCCAATCATGTATAGAAGCTAGGGAGATCATAACACAAACAGAACCAATCTTCGCAACAGGAGAGAAGGTCTATGTGTAGTCAATACCATATAACTATGAATAACCCTTGGCAACCAACCAAGCTTTCGATCTCTCAACACTACCATCAGGCAAATACTTGACCGTATATACCCACTTACATCCTACAGTATGCTTACCCGGGGGAAGAGTGGTGAGATCCCACGTATGATTATGAGCTAGAGCGAAGAGTTCTTCTTCCATCGCCTGACACCAACCTGGAGAGATAAGGGCTCCTTGGACATCCTTGGGAACAGAAACAGAAGATAACAACCAAACAAATTTTCGATGGGAAGGAGATAGGTGAGAAACAGAAACATAATTGGAGATAGGACGAAGGGTACAACTACGTTTACCTTTCTGCAGGGCAATGGGAAGGTCAAGGTCAGAAACGGGGGTGATGGTGCTGCGGAAGTCACTTCTGGATCCGTCGATAGTGAAGAAGCTAGATGGGTCGGTGCATGTCGATGCGTATACACTTGATGGATAGGTGGTCGTGCAAGAGGAAGTGGCACCGGAGGTGAAGACTTAGGTGCAGATAGAACAAGAGGAATGGGGTCCGCGACAGGAACTAGAAGCGGAAGGAAAGAAGAAGGGGAAGAGACATCAGACCCATAAAAGAATGGAACCAACTCAAAGAAGCTAACATTGGGACACAAAACAATGTCGAGAACTAGGATTATAACACTTGTACCCTTTCTGGGTCCTAGGATAGCCATGAAAGACACTTCGTAGATCATCTAGTTTGTCTAGTCCGGGACTAAGATTATGAACGAAGCATACACATCCAAAAACCTTAGGAGTAGGAGGAAAATGAGACAACGTAGGAAACAGAATAGTGAATGGAGACTGACCATCAAGGATGGACATAGGCATTCTGTTAATAAGGAAGCAAGATGTAAGCACTGCATCACTCCAGAAATGTTTGTGTACATTCATATGGTGCAACAGGGACTGAGCGGTTTCTAAGAGATGGCGATTTTTCCGTTCAGCTACCCCATTTTGTTGGGGGGTGTAAGAGCAAGAGGTTTGATGAATAATACCATGTTGTTCTAAATATTGCTAAAAGGGTGTATAAAAATATTCTTGGCCATTAACTGAATGTAGGATCTTAATGTGAATACCAAATCGAGTGCGGATTTCAGCATGAAATTTTTGGAAAGTAGAAAATAATTCACTTATTTCTTTCATAAGATAAAGCCATGTCATCCTTGAATAATCGTCAACAAAAATAACAAAGTACTTGTATCCATTGTGTGACACTACTTTATTTGGACCCCAAATGTGCAAATGGACCAAAGAAAAAGGACTCGACATACAATAATCGACTCTAGGACTGAAGGAAACCCGATGAAGTTTCCCATACTGACACGACTCACAATCCAAAGTAAAAAGATGAGTCAATGCTGGAACAAGTTGCTTAAGTGCTTTAAGAAACTGGTGTCTAAGTCTGCAATGCCACTGGAGAGGGGTGAGAGACGACTAAAGAGCTGTTGAAGAACCACCACCACCACTATCAAGGTAATACAATCCACAGCTTCATGCCCTCCACCAATCTTCATCCTCGTCTTGAGATCCTGAAATACACAAGATGAAGGGTAAAAGGTGATAGAGCAATTAAGAGACTTGGTCAATTTACTAACAGACATAAGATTAAAAGGAAATTTGGATACATACAAAACTGAAGACAAAAATAATGAACCAGTTTTAACATCACCAATACCACTTATGAAAGAAGTGGAACCATTAGCAAGAGTGACAGTGTTGGTTGTAGAGGATGAAGAAAGTGAAGATAACACACCTGGAACCCCAGTCATGTGATCGGAAGCTCCAGAATCAATGATCCAGTGGGAGGGTTTGGATGCCAGACAAGCCATACCTGAGTGGGTAAGCGTAGTTGTACTCGGCTCAGAAGTAGCCTGTATCAACCGCTCATATTCAGTACAAGAAATACTCACCATCTCCTGTCCGAAGGCATTTATAGGTGAAGGTGTCGGACTGGTCTATTGACTCCCTTGTTCCATATCACCACTTGCCACTGCATGATTTGCCCAGGATGACAGTGGGCCATGTAGATCATAGCAAAAATTAATAGTGTGCCCATCCATACCACAATGCGTACACTTTTTCGGACCATGATTACGTCCTCTACCACGAGCTCCCCCTGAATCTTGACCGCCAACATGCCCACCACCATGAATGGTACATGTGTCCACCTCTACCACCACGGCTTGGCTGGCCCTGATGAGCTACTCCTCTACCACCATGGCCGCCCCCTCTAGCCACCGCAAGGGCAGTCCTATCGGATATGGTGGGGTTCTCTAGAGAGCCAATAGAAATCCTCCAAAGGTGGGCAAACACCTCCTCGAGAGAGGGTAGGGCAGACCCACCTAGTATCTGAGCCCTCACTGGTTTATATTCAGGCTTCAATCCCACCAAAAATCTTGTTACATCAAGTTGCTCTCTGTTGTTGCTGAATTTTAACATCAGATGCAAGGGGGTGATGCACACTCAACTCATTCCTCAAATTTCTTAGACTAGCATAATACTCTTCAAGACTCTGGTTACCTTATTGTAGACTAAAATACTCTTGATAGAGTTGATATACTCCGGTGGTGTTATCCTGTCCTGAATAAAGCTTCCTTGCAATGATCCCAAATTTCCTTGGCTGTGTCTAAGAACATGAAATTTACACTAATCTTAGGTTCCATACTGTTCCACAGCCAAGTCATAATCTATGCATCTTCTTGTTCCCAATCACCATACTCCTGGGAATCAACTGGGGGTTTTTCTTCTCTTATATGTTTTGCTTTCTTCTTGGCTCTGAGAAACACTTCAATAGGTTTGGCCCAAGGTACGTAATTTTCTCCATTCAATTTAATTGAGGTCATCTGTACATTCAAGTAGTCTTGAGGGATCATAACCGACTTATGTTCATTATCTCCCATGGCTGTAATTTTTTTTTTTTTTTGTTTCAACCTGCCTTACCCAGTAATCACTACACTGCACTCCAACAACATTGTACATCACTCCTCAAGTTAATCACTCACCACCATAGGACAGACCATTGCTGAAACATACACTGTCACAGGTTTCAGCAATGTTAACCTCTACTATTGTCACTTTCGGCACCTCACAAACACATCACAGACAAGAGTACCACACATCTGCACCATACGACTGTTACTAATCTGAACCACACATCTGCACCTACCACAAAACCTACTATTGCAGCCCTCTTCATTCCATCGAGTAGAGGGTTCTCTACCAATCACCTGAAACCGCAGCTTCACACCCAACCGAACACATTAAAAACTCCAGAATGAAGATACGGCAACTCCTTCTCAGCCCTATTACGAAACTCCAAAAAAAGAAAAGAAAATTGAGAGATTACGAACAGAACAGATCTGAACTGACTTAACCTGGCTCTGATACCATGTGACGATTTCAGTTTCAGATCTTGATGTAGAAAAGAAGTAAAAGAGAGAGAGAGGGAGAGAAGAAGAGGAGAAATCGAAGAAGAAGAAAAAACCTGTTCAAACCCAAGAGAAGAGAATAGTTCTAATTCTCTCTTAGGTCGGCCAGGATATATAGATTATTAACATGAACAGAACAGATCTGAACTGACTTAACCTGGCTCTGATACCATGTGACGATTTCAGTTTCAGATCTTAACTTAATGTAGAAAAGAAGTAAAAGAGAGAGAGAGGGAGAGAAGAAGAGGAGAAATCGAAGAAGAAGAAAAAACCTGTTCAAACCCAAGAGAAGAGAATAGTTCTAATTCTCTCTTAGGTCGGCCAGGATATATAGATTATTAACATGAATAGAAAAAGACATTTATGCCCCTATTTAAGTTGGGACATATCAGCACTCACTAAAAGACATAACACCATATTAATAAAACTTAATTGACTATTCTACCCTTCTTTACTCAACACTAACAGGGAGAATTCTATCCAACATGATTCTTTATTGAAGACAGATGGGAATTATCGTCTTTCTATGTTTTATGTTTATTCAATTGTGTATACATTCTTATTTCTTTTTCAATGAAAACATTACCTTATCCTTGTAAAAGATAATTTTTTTTATAAACAATGTCATAAAGTTGTATTTAACAAGTTAAAATAACATCAATATACAAATGATCTTTGCAAAAGTATACAAACAGTAGGTGATTGGAATAGCACTATTTTTGAATCCTCTAATGATCAGTAGTTGTCTGTGCTCTAGGATGACCAAGAAACTTGTTATATAGGGGCCTCACCCCCCCCCCCCAAGTACTTACTATATTAACAAAATCATATTTTACCTGTGAATAAAAAATAAAGAAGATTCCAAAACAAACAATGGAACTCTCCACTACAAAGGTCCAAAAGATGCTTTAGCATAGCATGGCAATCATACATCTCTTGTAAAATTCTGCTTGAGTTAATGCAGCAGCAATCACCAGGTAGAACTGCATAAAACTCAACTTTTATAGAGGAAGCATCAGTAATCCAGACCCTCCTGGAGTAGGTGGGATGTTTTGGGATGGGATCCCAAGTCTCCTGGAGTAGTAGGTGGGATGCTTACCACTTTCAGCAATAGACTATTTGAGCTTAACACTCTCAAAACCATATCCAAGTCATGTGATATGAAATTTGTTGGACCAGTTATCAGATATAGACCATTTCTGAGCATGGAACTAGGGATGGACATGTCAATTATGAAGAAGCAATTGTTATTTCCATCAAGAAACTTTTTATCCTGTGTACTTTATCCATTCTTTATTCCTCTTTTACTTAAAAAATTTAAGTTTCAACAATAAGTCATGCCTCTCCTAAGGAAATCAAGAAACTTGTTATTCGTTATTCCTCTCCTAAGGAATTATCTTTAGATTTGGTCTATGTTGATCAAATATCGAAAAAAACAAAAATTTACTTTATAGTCATTTCAAAGTGTAGTTCAACCTCAAAAATAGAGATGTTTAACAATTCAATCATCAAAAGAAAAAAAAAATGTCTAACCTCTGCACATTTTTTGGGAAGCACTAAACGCCCAATCCGGCCTGCATCACTAGCACTTAACATCTTCTCAAACAATGGTGTGATGACAGCATTTTTGCTTTACCATGGTCAAGGTTTATAATTTGTTTTATAAGACATAATAATTATGACAATGAGAAGAGAACTCGTAGCAAAGTAAAAACAAAAGTAGAACAGGAGGTTCTATCAACTGTTAAACAAAATAGAAATTATTTCTACTGAAAAAAAAAAACCTTTTTACATGTGGCAGCTGAGGTGGAATGGAAAAGGTCATAAATCCATTAATCACCCCATGGTCATCCACTCATCTGTCAAGTGGCAGAAGTGGCATACCCTTTTGGTATTCTTCTCTTAAAAAGTTTAAAAAGAATTCCTTTAATGTGAAGTTTCTCCTAGCCATGCAGGTATGTGGCTGATGAATGACAAGTTTGGATTAGCCGCCATGTCACTATGTCATCCATCCATGAGTAAGAAACCCTGAATTAAAAGGAATTAGTTGTTATTAAAGATGGTTATCTTTGTTGTTGTCATATGATGCTAAAATGCAGCCACAATGTTTTACATCTGTTATCTGAAAATGCTAAGAAACAAAAATATTATTAATTAGTGGATACTCTCCAGAGATTTGTTGTAGCTCTTGATCTGTTATCCTTGGCCAGTATCTGGGAAGTAACTGATTCCTTCCTCGAGCATCCCCTCGAGGTCTTCCATTGCGTAATTGAGATTCGGTAGATGAATCGCCACCATTATTTGGACTAGCACAGATTTGCTTTGTCAATGGAGGTGGAGGGGTTTGCCGTTGTGATTGAGTTCCAGAAGTCTTAGTTGCAGCATTTGTGTCACTGGTTGAAACATAAGGTGCACCAAACCCAAAATGTGGAGTTGATGGTTCATCCTTTGGAATGGATGATGATAGTGAAATATTTACAAATGAACTTGGATGTATGTCATTGTTCATAGAAGTATCTCCTTTTCGTGTATCTGCTGGATCATTTTCTCCCTTATGGCGGTAGGAATGATGTGAGCCATCAAGATTCCCTTCTTCCCTGTGAAACGTAGTTAATCCAGCCAATGTGTCAATACCAGCATTACCATTTGCAAGTCTATCTGATGTGGGAAGCTTCAAGCTGCTTGATGCTAATCTTTCAGATGGATCATCAGACTTCTTCTTGTCCATTGCAGAGACAGCACCTAATCTGTCAACTTCATAAGGCAACCTAGGGTGCAACTCAGGCTGAGAAGTAGCAGTATTCCATAAATTGGGTGGTTGACGCCACTGTGCTGCAACTGCACTTGGACCTGAAGTATGACTCCAATTCTTGATTGAGAGGTCTTTAAGTCTCTCGGGAAGTGGTAGAGGCAGAAAAAAAGAGGATGGCCATATCGTGGATGCCTGAGAAAGAAAAGATACAAAATGTTAAACATAAGACCACATACCATTTCTCCACACAGATAAAGAAATAAGTTCAATAAATGGTTGAACTAAGTTGAAGCAATATGCAATCAATATCAGATTAGAAATAAGAAATTAATTAATGTTGATAACAATGAGCCAAACAATGACATCACAAACCATAATTGTAAAGGCACCAAGGAGAAGCTAGGGGAGAGGAAAGTGCCTTCTTGCCTAGGTGCCTAGGCAAATTATTATATTATTAGATAAGAAGGAAGACTAGAGGAGAAAAGGCTCAATCTTGCATCCAGCACAGAGGAATTAAATAAGAAGGAAGCACAGGGGACTATTGTTGACAAGGAAAGAGCCATGAGATGCAAATTAAAGAGAGAGTTGGAAGAAACCTTACTAAGGGAAGAAATCAGCTGGAAACAGAAATTTAGGTGCAAGTGGTTAAAAGAAGGGGACGGTAATACAAAATATTTTCATTCTTTGGAAAATGGGAGAAAGAGGAAGAACTATGTAACTAAATTGGAGATAGAAGGGCAGGAGATAACCAATCAAAGTGAGATTGCCAGGAGATTTGTAGATCACTTTAAATCCATCTTTAGAAGACCTTTGATTGAAAGAGTGGATATGGAGGACCTTGATTGGACTTGCCTGGAATCTGAAAAAGCTTGCTGGATAGAAAGGAATTTTGAAGAAGAGGAAATAAGGATGGCAGTTTTCTCAATGAACAGAGCTAAAGCCCCTAGGAAATTGTAAAACATGATCTAGTTGAGGTGTTCATTGAATTTGTGGAGAAGGGTTTCATTAGTCCAGGGATAAATGCGACCTTTTAGCTCTTGTCCCAAAAAAGCCTGATGCTTGCCATCCAAAGGACTTTAGATTGATCAACTTAGTGACCAGCTTGTACAAGATTATTGCTAAGGACCTTTCCACAAGGCTAAAAACAGTTCTTCCTACCTTAATCAGTTAGCAACAAGGGGCTTTTGTAAAAGGGAGACAAATAGCTGGCCAAATCCTTATCGCAAATGAATGTGTGGAAGAAATGAAGAGATCTAGGAAAAAAGGCTTTGCATGTAAGTTAGACCTTGAGAAAGCTTATGATCTAGTGGATTGGGTGTTCTTAATTGAGGTAATGAGATCTTGTGGATTAGGGGAGAGATGGTGTAATTGGATCTTTGGATGTGTTAAGACTTGTCATTACTCAATTCTGGTCAATGGGATTGTGAGAGATTTCTTTCTAGCTCGTAGAGGTTTGAGGCAGGGAGACCCCCTTTCACCCTTCCTCTTCACCCTAGTTGCGGAGGTCTTGAGTAGAATGATTTATAAGGCTGAAAGGAATAATAGAATTAATGGTTAGAAGGTTGGAAGGGATAGGTTACTGATTACTCACTTATAGTTTGCAGATGATATTATAAACTTTTGTGAAGGGGGAGATCAACTTTTGGAGAGGAATCTGAAGGACTTGGTGAGGAATTTTGAACTTGTCTCTGATCTTAAAATTAATCTTGAGAAGAGTTGTATCGCGAGATTTAATATGGAAGAAGGAGCCCTTACAGTTGTTGCAAATGTCCTAGATTGCTCCATCTCAAGTTGGCCTATGACCTATTTAGGACTTCCCTAGGTGCAAACCCTAGAAAGAGTAGATTTTGGAGTCCAATCTTTGAGAGGTGTACCAAGAGACTAGCAACCTGGAAAAAGAATTACATCTCACTTGGGAGTAGGATTACTCCGATTAAGTCCATGCTAGCTAATCTGTCAATCTACTACTTGTCAGTCTTTAGGGTCCCTAAAAAGGAAATAAATAAGATAGAGAAACTGATGAGAGACTTTTTGTGGGAATCGGGAGAAGGTAAAAAAAGAACACTTGGTTAATTGGGAGATTGTGAGTAGAAGCCTAGAAGAAGGAGAACTGAGAATTGGGAATGTGGATAAAAAGAATTTGGCATTGCTAGGAAAATGGTTATTGAGATGGCCACGGTAACGGGGCAGACTCTAGCATAAACTAATAGCCACTATTCATGGTAGGTTAGGGAATGGCTGGGATGCAGGTGTCTCTAACCAGGCTACATTAGCATCTCTTCCTATCCCTATACTCAATTTCCTTGTACAAAAACAAATGTATTTCTAAATTCATTGTTCCCCATGTTCATCCAGTGGATCATAATTGGGATTTTGGCTTTCATAGAGGGTTAAGGGATGATGAATTGAGAGGGCTTGCCTGGATTTGCTTCAAATACTTCAAAGTGTGTGTGTCTTGATCCTGATAAGTCAGACAAGCGTATCTGGGAAGTTTTGGTGCAGACATTGTTCCCCCTGTTTTCTTGTGCTTCCTTCTTCAAGTCTCTTTGTAATTCTTTGCCCTCTCATTTGTTTCCCTTGAAAGAATTTTGGTGCAAACCCATTCCCCCTAAAATAAGAGCTTTTTGTTGGGAAGTAATTCATGGGAAAATTAGTACTTTGGATTTTGGAAATACTACAAAAGAGGAGATCCAATTTATGTCTCTCTCCAAAGTTTCATCACTGTATCATGAATATATGGTGATGGATCTTCTGGTCGATCAATTAGGCTTCATTTGTATTGAAAGAGAAGCTCCTTTGTTAGCATCCAATCTGAACGGTTCAGATAGGCACATTATTCAGCTAATTCAATAACAGATGCCCTTGCAAGGCCTGGAGTAACCAGGGAATAGATCTTATGGGGGAACCAGGGCAGGGTATTGATGTAAACCCACCTTTAATATAACAGAAACTTATAGATGTATGTCAGCCTAGTGCTGTTTGAATAGTCCTCACCAAGGTTCAAAGTATCGACACACCTCTGTATATCGGCAGCGGTGTATCGGTACTAAAAACCATGCGCTTTTATATTTTTTTTAATAATATATATATATATTATTAAAAAAAGGGTTCCCAAAACACCTGTTACCGGTGTTTCGGAAGTTGGAACCCAAAAGATACGGTATCGTATCAAAATTTTGATCCTTGGTCCTCACTGCAACTGTTTTGGATAGAGAGGTTTTCAGTCATTTTTACAGCTAATACAATCCAATGTTACTGCTCAAAAAAGTAAAATGAGATTTTACTTGGGTTAAATTTAGTGTGTAAAATGATAGGCTTAGTTTCTATCACTTTTTACTCTGTCTCCATTTGTTTGCAGCAGGACAAACAAATACAGTTCATAGACTGCCCTCTCTACATAAGAGGAACTGAACCTACACCTTCACTCCTTTAGCAAGTTGATCAGCAAAAGAATGGGTTGGTCTTGGAATCCATTTGAAGGAGATTTCCAGTCCTATGATACCCAGAGATACCTAGATGATGTATCATGTCTGATCTGATGCTTCAATTTTTAGCATAAAATCTGTATGCAGAATTTTATCGATGCCCTTGTCATATCTGGGTAACATAGGTTCAGAATCTTCAGATTAAATGCCAAAGATCTCACCTAACAAATATGATAATGCAGAAATCAGGGTTCACTGCCATCTCTCATCCAACTAATAATCACTTGAAAATCCTCTACAACCTCATATAAAGAAGCTCCAATTGTTGAGAGGTCAAATCATTATTGTATTCCTTAGTTGCTTATTTTATGCAAGAAATTGTTTGGAAGAGAAAATAATTAGTTTTTCTAATCATTAGCAATCTCAAAATTACATTGACAACCTAAAAACAGTTATAGGATGTCTTTCCAAAAAAAAAAAAAAAACAAAAAGAAAGGCCAAGATCCCTAGTGGCTGACCATGCTCACATTGAACATGAAATACTTTTTTTTTTGAAGAATTAAAGAAAAAATTTATTGAAAAATAAAAGCAGATTACAGCACTACAGGGGTGTTAAGATAACACCCGAACCTGCTACCAATCCCAACAAAGCTTACAAAGACACAAGACTAACAGAAAAGACCTAAGAAATTCCCCCCTCATACAGCAAGGCTTGAACATGAAAGACATTACTAGTGCTGCATTCCTAATACCCAGTACAAGTGCTTCCCCTTTACTCTCTAGCTAGACTGCCCGCAAGGTTATTGGCTGATCTTAGCACCCATCTGAACAACGTGGTCATCCTGGCTGTGCTGGCGATCTTGCCTATCTTATGTAGCATCACAGTGGCAAACTTTCATGGGCCCAAAGGATAGCAAACTTTCAAATATTGTAGGAGGGCTAGAATCTCCGCCCTTATTCCTGTGCCTCTCCTACTAACCCTGAAAATGTAGCTACTAGCTCTTCCATCGCTCCTATAAAAGTTTGCTATATCAAGGAGGGGCCCATGTTTCATACAAGCACTTCTATGGGTATAGGGTTGCATTTATAGGTAGACCATTAAACCCTTCCCTTCTATATATCCAATGTAGAACCCTTCTTTTTTTTTCTAATAACCAATAGTCTTCTCCATCTCTGTCTTCTCATCATTGAAGATCCTTGAATTCCTCTATTCCCAAATGCTCCAAATAATTGCTGGTCATAGTTGTCAAGGAGACAAGGCGTCCTTGGAAGCTCGCCTTGCCCAATCGCCAAGCAGTTTTGTATACTATGATATAAAATACTTTTATATTATTAATTTTTTGAGATTATAATTATAAAATAGACATCATTAAACAAAAATATTCATTTTGTGTGTTTATATACTAATTTCTTTTTATTATTTTCTTATTTTTTAGGGTTTAATCAACACAAACATTGCTAACTGCTGTATTAAACCCTCACAGACTTCAAAACCTGAACCAACAAGTAAGGAAAAACTTAAAATTTTTTCTAATCAACACATTTTTTTCTTCCTTTCTTCTTTTTCTTCTCATAAATATGTCGATTATCTAGACTTTGACATGAAGTTTATACTTTTCTTATGAAAATTATGGATAATTATTAAAGAAATATGGTTATGGAACCTAGGGAACTACCCTAGGATATATGGTTTTTACTTAAAAAAATCCATCGCCTAGGAAACAAGGCACCCCCTGTCGCCTGGCCTCACCTTGGTGACTTGAAAACTATGTTGCTGTTCTAGTTCTTTTTTTTTTTTTTTTTTTTTGGATTGGCAACAAGAAACGAATTGTATCTGTGTTTTTTCATACAAAATTCTAATTATTCTAGTGGAATTGATAACCATCTATCATCAAATTCTATAGCCATTAACCACTACCACAAGGATTAGGCAGCTTAACAATCTTCTTTTCATATTATATCCATAATAAAACAGCAACAGGGAAACATTGAGAGATCTGATTAGGAACAGGTTAAGCATTTCGTACCGGGATCATATTTTTTCTAGCACATGCGATGCACTCAACTCCTCCAGCATCCAATAACAAAAATGAATGGAAAGAAACAATACATCCACAGTGCACCCTCTGCAAAAGAGATGAACCACTATAAAATTTAGAAAATAAACAACAGCTAAATCTGAAGATACATTTTTGAAATATACATAATCTATTTAATGTCTACATTATATCAGTTAACTTATACATCTACCTAAATAAACAGGAAAACAAACAAAAAATAGGAGTGATACTTTCAGCTTACCTTCCCACATGACTCACAGCCCCTCCAACCAGCAGCTTCTGAGTGAAAAGTTTCACAGTATCTCCCTTCCTCAAATGCAGAACTGGAGTCACATAGGGTTAAAATCACATTCTAAAGAAACTACATAGAGGAATTGGCAAAAATACAACCTTAATTTTGGCAAGAATACAGGATAAGCAGCAAAATTAAATTCGAAGATAAGTAGTACCGTTTAAACTGATGCAAAACTACATGGAGGAATCAGCAAATACACAACCTTTATTTTAGGCAAGAAAGCCAAGAACACAGGATAAGCAGTACAACTAAATGTGACAATAACTAAAGTTGCTTAAATTAACGCACATCTATCTGACAAAGGAGTAAAACCTGGTTGTGAAGATTCTCCATTCTCCAAATAAAGTTCCACCACTCCACAAGTCCCAAGCACAATTTCCTCATTCATAGGTTCCTTCACTTGGGATTTGGAAACCATTAACTGATATAATGTAGACATTAAATAGATTATGTATATTTCAAAAATGTATCTTTAGACTTTAAAAGCACAACATTTTTCGGAAGGGCCTTCTAGCGCCTGAGGCATGGCATGGAAGGCAAGGCATCCTTCATTTTGAAGTAAGGTTCAAGTTTTCAAAAATAAAAAATAACAATAATACATAAAAAAATGCAGACCTGAATTTTAAAAGAAATTAAATGTTATAAAAAGCATATTGGGGCAAATTAAAATGCATAAGCATGACATAGAAAATATATCCAAAGTCAAAATGTGGGAGTGACAGAAAATATATGGATCATACCAAATTCAAGCATGTGAAACTTTCAATGTGTTTATTTATCTCCTAGTTGCATTATTCCTAGGAGATCAGCCCTCCACCTCTGTAAAGGCCCTCTACAACAAGCCCAAAGAACAAGTCCATACAGGGGTTTGAGATAGCGCACTAGTGCTCATGACCTAAATTTTTAGCTCGTACATATAAAGGGAATGATTTCATATTTTAATCACAATCCATTCTATTTAGGACCAGGAATCAGAAATTAGTTGTATTGTTGTTGCTTCTTTAGTGGAAACATTGCTTTTTGAGATCCTATTTGCACGAATTGAGGCTTCAGGTATTTAAAAGGTCTTTGTTTTCTGTTGGTTTTAAAAGCTATAGACCATTACTAGTGATAAGAAGCAATAAAAGGTAGTTTAGAAGTTAAATGTGTAAAACATAAAAGATTCTACAAAAAATAATGAAATAAGGAATATCCAAAAATGGCATGCACCAGCACCTAAGCTGATGCACAAGGGACGCCAATCACATGCCTTTTGAAAGGGGCTGACCAGTTCAAGAGAGGCACATACCTTAAAATGTGCTTCACCATTGCACCTAGGCATGCCTGAGGTGTGCCTTTTGAAATATTGGATGGTGATAGGCTTCTATTTTACTTTACTGCAATTATCTCTTTTAGTTAGTTGGGGTTAAGGCTGAGTTGAGTTGAACTGTTTTAGTTCATTAATGAATAGATTTCTTCATATACATGTATTCCATGGAAGAGACAAGACTAGACATGCTGCACTTCCATTATTAGGATTTGAAATATCTATGGAAAAGTAATGATAAAAAAATATTTGTGGACAAGTTTCAGGAGAAAACAAAAGGAAAGATCTTATTAATACCCTACTGTATAGACTTTCAATTTGTTTCTCCTTTCTTCAAATCATCTTATATAATTCACCTTCTAATCAATGATGTCCTGATTTGTGTTTTCTTTCCTTATGGTAACCATATTAGGCTAATAGCTTTTCTCCTTCAACTTATTAAAAAAAACAAATCACTAATCAATTCTAATCTAACTAGTTTGCATTCCTAAGTGGTAGGAGGCAATCTAGGTAAATATGATCCTGAGTTTAATTATAAATTACATTAGGCAGGACTATTTGCCTCTTTTGTGCGGAAAGATTACATAAAGAATAAACTTTGATAGTTGGGGGTGAGGAAGTAGTAAATGAATAGTCTTAAAGGGTAAGCCTACTGCTTATTACAGGTCAGAAAGCTTTCTTTTAAAAAAAAGTAAGGAAGAAATGATCAACTAATGTTTGCGTTTTCTCCATAATGAAAGAGAGTCATTTTAACCCTTCAAACAAATCGAACACCAAAATTCAGAGCCTCAAGGCAAACCCTGCATATGATGAAACGAAATGCAAAGGCCAGGTCAATGGGAAAAAAAATAGAAGAGACAGATTTATGTAATGTCCATGACCATTCCAGATAATAGTAGAAGTTATATAAATATCAGTTAAACTTGAGTGCCAGAACAAATAATGCATGGGAGACAACAATTGAAACATAAGAAAATAATCGTGGCAATGGAGAACAGAACATAATTCACAAATCACAATAGAAATAAGCACACACTTTCGGACCAGTAACAGGTACCTTCTAAAATACACCTATACAATGTGACAGAGTACAAAAGAAGTTTACTTAGGAGGTCAGAACTTGAAAATGAAGGGAAAAAGGCTCCATTTTACAAACATAAACCCCAAAGAAGCAATTTTTCTACCAAAACGTAACGCACTCGGAAGGGACTAAAACCAACTACAGCCACTAATTAACGCAAAACCGAACATTCAAACCCAAAAGAACTTCCATCTCCAGTAAAAAGAGTAAAGTCGTCCCTTCACGAACAAAGCTCAAAAGGAATTCGAATTTTCACTTCAAACAATCGTAGTCAGCTTAAACATAATCCCAAAACAGCGGAAGAATCCACTGAATCAGCACATAGAAATTTATCAAAGCTTCAAAAACACATAAAAATCCTAGGCAACCCGATCCACCAAACTCCAAATTAACGTTGCAACAAATTAACAGCCGAAATCGAAACGAATACAGAAAAATAGAGATGAAGTAAAATTGCTTACGCGCATCGATCGCAGAGCTCAGCGTATTCTCCATTCCGAAGCCGCCATCCCTTCCTCAGCCTCTCCGATTTAGCATCCTTACAGTCTTGATTGAAACAGATCTTCGAAGAAGCAGCAGCAGGAGCAGGAGCGGAAGACGACGACATCGAAGTTCTCCGGTCTCCACTTTCAGAACCACAAAAGCAGATAAGCACGAAGAACAAAAACCCTAGAGACGTACTTCAGAAGGAGGAGACGAGAGAAGAAGAGGGTGGTGCCTTGATCTGTAATCATGAGAGTGAGAGAGGAGTTGAAGAGAGGGGTTTCGGACTGGGCGAGGGAGAGCAAAACACAACTACACAAGTAACAAAAATATATTATTTAAATATAAAATAAAATAAACAAATAAATAAATCTTTTAAAACACGACGAGGCGAGGCGAGGCGTGGCGTGCCTTCTTTTTGGCGTCGTCGACCTCGTCGTTCTATTTCACTATATCTCTCTCTCTCTCTTAGTATTCTCTCTCCTCTCCCTTTATATATATATATATATATATCTCTCCACTTTCTCTCACGTCGTCGTCGTCGTCGTCGTCGCCGTTGTCATTAATGGACGAGAATTCCGTTCTTATCGCTTAGCTTTTTTTCTCTGAGACTTCTCTTTTCTTGAAAGTTCTGTTAATAAAAAAAAATATTAATCTAAATAAAATAAAATAACAACACATGCATGGCCCGCGAGGGCGCGAACGTCATGCAAGCACGTAACACGCACCCTTCTTTCTCAAGTCTCATTTGTCACTCACACGCGCTTTTTTGCTCACTTCAAGGCTTGAAACCCACGCCTTGGGTGGTGGGCCCCGTGGAACTTAGGTGGGTCACACATTAAAAAATCAATCACATGGCTAAGATTACGCGATAGAGACGTTATACACGAATACGATACGCTAAAAAATAGCGTAGCTCGGTTTTGCGAGTGCTCCATCTGCTTTTGTTCTTGTCTCTACAACCGTGGTATTCGGCTGGCAAGGTGGGAAATATCTCGGAATTCTAGGTCTTATTTGGTCAATGACCGGTCAGTGTAATAGGGACTAGGGTAGTTGCTCAAGGTGGAATGCCGGGTATGATATAGTATTACTCAGAGTTTCAACACGGTAACAGCCTGTAGACCACGGAGAGGGAGAAGCTCCCAAGGCCCAAGCTCGGGTTTTTTTTTTTTTTTATTACGTGGAAACGGTATAGTATTATACGGTGGGACACGGTAACATGTGATCACAATGTCCTCAAGAGCTAACAGCCTTTATTTTTCAACACGTGCCACATAGAAGAAGATGCTCCTAACTGGACGACGACGACGAACCAAAAGCCTATAATTTCCTCCGGACCACACGTGGCACTGGATGAGACACGAAACCTGTCTCATAAAACCTCAACTCAAACTCGTGGGGTTCGAGTTTGGGATAGAAGTTTGGAATTAGGACCACCGCATTTGCATGCAGCGTGTCGCATCGTAATAAAAGCTTAATAATATAATAAAAGAAAATACAGAAAAGGAGTTCGGATTCGAAGTGAGCTCGTGAGGGGGGGGGGGGGTTCAGACCGTCCGGGTCGGAGTTGGACCCACCACCACAACCTGGAAATAGATCACCACCGCAGAATACGAAAATGATGAGCGGTGGGACCGCCTTCCACAAAAAGCGTAAAGTTTACGGCCTCACGCACAATAATATAAACGGTAAGAGTTGGCCGTCTGAACAGGATAAGTGTTGGAAGGGTCGTACCTTGGCCCAGAGACAAAGGTGGGACCCAGGAAAAGACGCTGCAAAGTTAAATATGTCTTTTCATGGAAAAGCTAGAGCCTAGAGGTGGCAAAAAATTGTAATTTACCAGGATGGTAGATTTTGAATGAAAAAAAAAAACAAAACAAAACAAAAAATGATGCAAGAAAACCCAATAAGATGACGCCATCGGAATTAGGATTCAGCTAATATCGCCACGAATACTATTCTTCTCATAATTGAGAGTGCGTTGTCGACTTGTCGTGGGGGACCCGTCGTCATCCAACGAATCCCCAAAACCCAAGAGCTGGGGCAATAAATACACACAGTCCCAAAACCGAAACAACGTATCTCTCAATCTCATCCTTCCGAATTACTCGTGAAGTGAACACTCTACAATTATTATATTATAGGATGATTTTCGTCAATGAGCGTTAATTACATTCAAGCCCATTCCATCGAATTAGGATTAGATTTAGGTTAGTATGGGTCCACCAGAAATGGATGGCCAGTATTTGTGGAGTTTGGAACCTTTGTTTGTTGATTGGGTGCCAATGTGCGACGCATGTGATATGCACGTAATTAGGGAATAGAGATATTTTTATTTTATTTTTGGTAAAAGATATTTTTATTGGGTTCTGCGTTGCGTGTAAGCACGTGTATAAGAAGAGTAAGACAATGATTTGTTGATTGCTGGAGTGTTTATTATTGGCGGTGGACAGTTTTGTGGTGGTTTTTAATAGGGAAGGAGAACGTCTATCGTTAATATGGCGTTTTCAGGTTGCCAAATCAGCTAAATGTTAAGTTGAGGAAATGCAAAGAGAAGGAGAATTTCTCAGTAATAGTTCTTCGTTGGCAGCTGGGGCATTTGATTTCTAGCGCAACAAACAACTTTGCAAACAATACTTTCCGCCCAATCAACCGAGATAATGCTATTGCTCAAGCCAAACGTGTTGTTTCATTAATTTCGTCAGAAAACATGTCAAAAACGCTACGTTGGTTTCGTCTCTACTCAACGTTATGTTTTTTAGAAACTTCTCAGTTTCCAAGACGTGAATTCCTTTCATTATTGTTGCTGGTTTTAAAAATAAATCAAAATCATCTGTTTTGAAAACATATTCTTTCTCTGCAGATTTTCTTCTTTGTAAAACTCTGTGCTATTTTCTTCTCTATGATTTCTGTGCTATTTTACATGGTATCAAAGCCACTCTGACTTCTTTGCTCTATATTTCATTCTTTCATTTTGCAGTGGAGTTAAATCACGATTCACCTTATTTCTTGTATACCTCGAATAATCCAGGGACTGTTGGTGTCTTGTCCGTTCAATTGAGATAATTATCCAACCTAGCAGCTTGCGATGAGGAATGCCCTAGAACTAAGAAACATGCAAGTACTGCTTCATTGATGGTTTACTGTTGAAGCCAGATGTAGGATCAATGCAAGAATCGCTTTGGATCAAATGCAATTAAATGGTTATTTCTTGGATTTTCAACTCATTGGTGCGTAAACTCTATGACAGTGTTGTCTACACAAACACAATTAATGAAATCTGGAAAGATCTTGAAAAGAGGTTCTCGTAGAGAAATGCACCAAGAGCCTACCAGCTCAAAAAAAAAAACTTGTGACCCTTGGGGTAGCCTATTTCACCAAATTAAAGGCACTATGGGATGAGCTCTAGACATTAATACATGTACCTGAATGCACTTGTGGAGCAGCTAAACAATTTGTGACCATACAAGAAGATGAGAAGCTTCATCAGTTTCTCATGGGACTTGGTGATGCCTTCAACACTATCAGATCCAATGTTCTTGGATCAAAACCTATGTCAAACATCAATAGAGCATACACTCCTACAGTATATGAGGAAAAGCATCTTGTATCTTGTCGTCGTCAACACGCAGATTATGCTAAATCTTGATGTCGGAGTGGAACTCTTTGTGAATTCTTCCAAGAATCGTTCGATGTCGAATTCCCAGATCATGCTTAAGGTGAAGTGTGAACACTACAAGAAACTTGGGCACACACAAGAAAACTGCTATAAACTTATCAGATATCCGCTAGACTGGAACACAGGTAAAACACAAGCATGGGGCAAAGGGACAAGAGTCGCATTTGCATCAATTAGTACACAAAATGATGTGGCATCTCTCGTGCAATGATTGAATTTGGAATAATACAATCAGCTTTTGACTCTCATAACACCATATAACATTGTAGCCAATGCCTTTGGTAAGGCCCTTGTTTACCTTTCACAGTCAACCTTCTTGGATCTTGGATAGAGTTTTAGATCATATGGTCTCTGATCCGAAACTTCTTACTATTCACAATACCTTAGTCTAACCTAAGCTAGTTTGCTTACCCAATGGAGTGGTTTTGCAAGCCACACATCAAGGCTTGGGTATGCTAACCACCAATATTACTCTTCATGAAGTTTTCCATATACCTGGTTTCCATTGCAATTTGATCTCTATTAACAAATTAACTAATCAATTGCGGTGTATTGCCTTTTTCTTGCCAACTACTTGTTTGATCCAGGACCTAGTGTCAAAGAAAGTGATTGGCACGGATGAAGCACGTAACAGAATTTATTTCCACACTGTTGACATTCCATGTTCCTCTATTTTGACTACCCACAATGAAGTTACTACTAAAACATGGATAAGCACTTGGGTCATGCTTCTCGACATTCTCTTTCATTAGTTCTTGATATTTCTACTCATCATGTTAGATTGCCATGTGACACTTGCCACAGTGCAAAGCAATTGTATATGCTATTTCTAATAAGCAACTCTTGAGCAATGGAACTGTTTCACCTAGATCATGTTGACATTCGGGGTGGTTACTCTACTCCTTATAGTGGCACGATATTTTCTCACTATAGTAGATGATTTTTCTCATAGTACTTGGTTGTATCTGATGAACAATAAATCTCAAGTCCTTCATTATTTTTCTTAGTTCTACAATATGGTCAAAATATAATATTCAATGTTCTATACATATCCTATGGGCTAATAATGGATTAGTGTTTTTTCACACCCCATGAAAAGTTTCTTGTTACAACAGGGAATTATTCACCAACATTCTTGCATCGACATGTCACAACAAAATGGTGTGGTCAAACGCAAACACAGACATTTGCTTGAGATAGCTCAAGCACTTCGTTTCCAGGCAGGCCTCCCTCTTTCTTTTTGGGGAGAGTGTGTAACTACAACAACATATTTGATTAATTATCTCCCACCTCAAGTACTTAGCAGCTAATAAGGGCAGATTTGGCCCTCTATTGACATCATGGCACATGGCATCTCAGAACAACTAGATGACACCTCAACACCACCTAGGCGATGACTTGCCTTAGCCAAAGAGATGGAGTTTGACCTAGTGACCTGGTGAAAACCTAGCTAACGACCTCGTCTACAACTCTGAGCAGCTTGTAGCGCCTCATCTAGGGGCCGATCTATGGCACCTCGTTAGTACAGTCAAAGTGACCTCAATGAGGAGCGACCTCCCTTGAGGGCTTGCCGACCTAATTGAGGTCCAGGTGGCAACTTGCGAGACGTGCTCACTAACCAATTCGGCATGCA